GCGCGCACCTAGTTGAGGTTGCGGGGGTCGAGTCAGAGCTCTTGGCCCCGCCTCTTCACTGATCGCTACTAGGTCACTCCCTGAACCGTGAGCTTTATCATACCTCTGCTTAAAGCTATGTATGGATCCTGCCTCCACTACATCGCTTCCCAAACTATTCCACTTACTGACTACTCTGTGGCTGAAGAAATACTTCCTAACATCCCTGTGATTCATCTGTGTCTTCAACTTCCAACTGTGTCCCCTTGTTACTGTGTCCAATCTCTGGAACATCCTGTCTTTGTCCACCTTGTCAATTCCTCTCAGTATTTTGTATGTCGTTATCATGTCCCCCCATCTTCTGTCCTCCAGTGTCGTCAGGTTGATTTCCCTTAACCTCTCCTCGTAGGACATACCTCTTAGCTCTGGGACTAGTCTTGTTGCAAACCTTTGCACTTTCTCTAGTTTCTTTACGTGCTTGGCTAGGTGTGGGTTCCAAACTGGTGCCGCATACTCCAATATGGGCCTAACGTACACGGTGTACAGGGTCCTGAACGATTCCTTATTAAGATGTCGGAATGCTGTTCTGAGGTTTGCTAGGCGCCCATATGCTGCAGCAGTTATTTGGTTGATGTGCACTTCAGGAGATGTGCCTGGTGTTATACTCACCCCAAGATCTTTTTCCTTGAGTGAGGTTTGTAGTCTCTGGCCCCCTAGACTGTACTCCGTCTGCGGTCTTCTTTGCCCTTCCCCAATCTTCATGACTTTGCACTTGGTGGGATTGAACTCCAGGAGCCAATTGCTGGACCAGGTCTGCAGCCTGTCCAGATCCCTTTGTAGTTCTGCCTGGTCTTCGATCGAGTGAATTCTTCTCATCAACTTCACGTCATCTGCAAACAGGGACACCTCAGTTTATTCCTTCTGTCATGTCGTTCACAAATACCAGAAACAGCACTGTGTGTGTGTGTGTGTGTGTGTGTGTGTGTGTGTGTGTGTGTGTGTGTGTGGTGTGTGTGTGTGTGTGTGTGTGGTGTGTGTGGTTTTGTGTGTGTGTTGTGTGTGGTGTGTGTGTCCCTATCGTATTGAGCCTTTGTCATGGGTCAGGCGTTATGTAATACTTTATGTATGTACGATTAGATTCTTTTTAAAGTTTATAATTATGGTCTGTACCCTGATACCGGTTTGGTGTCAATGCTAAGTTCTTGATGTTAAGTTTTAGTCTGTATGGTATACAGACATCTAGACCGTTTAGTGACGTAGTCCATTTGTGTAGGAGATTTTGTATATGGGTTTATTGTAACAGTATTGCGCCTTCAGTTTTTGTTCTAAGCTGTATTCTTTTTATGTTCATTCGTATGTTGGTATATGTAAAGCTGTATTGTTAGGGATACATATGTGGAAGTTCTAGCAAGATTATGATGTTAGGTTTTGGTTTTTTGATTAATGCGAAGGATGGGATTTAACTGATAACTTTTGTATATTTTCTGTTCTAGTGTATTGAGCTTTATGTCAGATGTCATGTTATATGTACAATTTATATTTATGTAAGGTTTTGCATCAATGAATGTGTATGTGTGTCACTTCACGACCCTGTGAAAGTTTTTTTTTTGTAGCTATGTTCTTGCCGTAAGTTATTTGTTGCACGTTTTGCAGCAATATCTTGCGAGCATATAGATGCAATCCGTTTGTCAGTTAATTTGATTGAGATCCATACAGTTTCTTTATGTTTGTTAAAATGTATTGGTTTTAAATATAATAAAAAAAAAACTTTTACAATACAAGGTAGATTTTTACTATTTACTCAGTCATTCTAGGTGAACACCGCGACTGCTGGTCGGAACAATAGGCAGAACCCAGTTCCACAAGACCCTAGTACAGATGCTCGAAACAAGCACCAGCGCCGAGTTGTGACCAGGATAGGGAAATTAGTGCATCCTAGTTAAGGCAGTGTGAGCCTACGAAGAGGCAACTGTTTCAAGAAGAATTATAGTAGGACTCACGCAGAATAAGGAGGGGTTCAGAAAGGTCCTAAGAAGCCACAGAGATTGCTTCCCCATCCTCCTCACCATACTTTTCGTCCGCAAGCTAAATCAATGGCCGGCAGCTACCACCATGATCCTTCAGGTCGCGCTGCGTTTAAGACTAGTGCCTCAGAGATTTCGCACGAATATTTGGCGAATAACAATTTGTTAGTATTGCCAGTGAATACTTGCAAGGTGATTATATTATGGCCATTACCTAATTCTCAAACTTGAAATTTTTCGACCTTTTGTTCCCTAAAGTGCTAATCACTTTGACCTCAGAAGCCGAAGCTTACAGTTAAACCGTTTATGCATTGTTAATAACAGCCACAATTCGAACCCAGTTCTCGAGCGTATCACCTTTCCTCACCCTCCGGATAAAAGTAATTACTAAGGCAAGATCCATACAATTAAAGCATAACAGGTTGCGTGCTAAATTTAACAAGTAAAAGTTGTCTAAATACCATAGCAGCTGTGTGTCTGCAGAATGTGTACGTACACCGCCAGAGTAGAGTGTATTTAGATTAATATATGGTCCAAAATGATATAAGGATCCGGCAGAGGATGCCTGCATGTGCACCTGTAAGAGCACAGCGTGCAAGGTGTGTATTCGTTGCACCAATCAAGGTAGTCAGTACACGGTATTTCACAGGCGGGGGGGGGTGCCATATTGAGAAGTGTTCATCGGGGAGCGGGGCAAGCCGAGTGTCAAAAGGGAGAAGGAGAATGTGAGCGCGCACGCTGGTACATTCTCACACATGTGAGAGGGGCGTGTACACTTGAGGGTGACCTTGGGGCTGCTCGTCTGGCAGTGGCAGAAATTTATTCCTAGTTTTTATCTTTTTCCTCCTTGTCAGTGACCGAGCACGTCTGAAACGGGGAAGTTCCGTAGTTTTCTAAACACTTAAAAGTAGAATTATACTTATAATTAAACGGCGAATAACTAGGAGCAATACCCCCGACGTAATACACCGAATAAACCTTAAATTATGATACGGCAGGTATTAGAGTTATTTTGCGAATTAACTGGAGGGTTATAGCTCAGAATAACCCTTAATGAAGCTACTGTCCTACTTCCACTGCGATCAGTTTTTATCCTATTGACCCCAGGACGACGTGCTACGTCTCGCTAATATCTGCGTAGGATTAAAGCATATTTCAAGAACTAACGTCATGGGACCGGTGAATAAAAATCATACACAGGATCAATTTTTGCTAAAACCACTCCCGCCATCCCTGGCAGGCAATTGACATGCCCAACTACAAGATATATATGAAATCTCTTCAGTGTTGCTGGATCATACAAGACCCTGCAATCACTAAATGATTGCTTGCACCTTAAGTCTACTGACAGGGGAAAGGTGGCAAGTGCTGTTATCCTGAACCAGCCAGATGGTACCAAGATTTATTGGAATCTTTGACTAAGCTTTCGCCATAGTTAAACGTTTCGAAACTGTCATAGCCGCTAAGTTTAGAACTAGTTACAAAGTGGTTTACAAACACATTCTATACGTTTCAATAAGCCCGAGACATGAATGAATCATTCGTGTGCATGTCAAACCAGTCACAAATTGAGATTAGAGCTAAACTTCTCTGGATTCTTTAGTCCTCCATGAGCATGAAGTCGGACATGCCTGAACTAGCATTAAACTAAGAATACAATTTCTTGAAAATCTATTCTAACTGCCTCGGATCACCAAGATCCGGGGGAGGGGGGGGGGTTAGATCCATGGACGCGAACTGGCCGCGTTGAGTGAAATACCCATATTGTGTATTTTGGCTTTCTAGCAGAGGCAATAACAGATCCGTTGATTAAGGAAAGTCTAGGGGTGGTAGAGGAAAAAGCAGCAGGAAGAGCTATGTTAGGAGGCAAGCTACCAGCATTATGGTGAGTAAAGAGTGGCACTCTGAAGTGGTATACTTTTAGAAGACTGGATTTTATATTAAGTCTTGCTATTTATCTTTAAATTTCTTTCATGAATTGACATTTAAGCCCCCCCCCCCCCGGTCTAACAGTCTGGCATAACATTTAATTGCCTTTATGAACATTAGATTTTCATTAACAGCAAGTTTACTCCTTTGGATATTTCTTTTTGAATTCTAAAGTATTGTACTTAAAAGTGGTAAGCTAATGGCATTTTATTATTTATCAAGTAGGGTTATTAATAAGTAGGAGGCTCATTCCTTATCCCTGGTTAGGACTAATTATGCCTACATAATTGTACACCTAGTAATAATTAGGTACTGGGGAGTTAGCGTATTTGAGAGTCATCCTGGGAAAGGATCTGCCAGACTGGTATAGTTTTAAATGAATAATTTTGCTGGGTTACCGACCCTCCCGAATAACACTTTCCCCATTCCTAAACTTTTAGAAAGCAAGCAAACCCTACAAGAAATAAGTGGTTTGCCAAAATGCCGAAATCTTTAGACTGCTGTTTTGCATTGGCTAGAAGAATGAGAAGACTTGAAATCTTAATTACTACTTTTTTTAAGGGTTGAGATCATTTTCTTTATCTCCATATTTTGTAATTACCCAAAATGATTATGACTAAACATATGTAAAGACGTAATTAGGTGGTCAAGATTCATTGCGACGAAGCTCAGTGGGTGAGCAAGGGGTGCAAAAACCAGCAGCTCATGTTGCACAATTAAAAGTCTTGGAACGCCCAGGTATCTTTGCTGCTGGGTGAATAGGAGTAACACTGAAGTTTCCATTTATGCTGGGATCGAACCCTGGTCTAATGAAGAGGGCAGAAGGTGCCACCCTAAACTAAACAATCATGTAGTTTTGTCTGCCCACAGTTCGTCAAAATCAGGGGCTTTTCCAAAAATAGTGAAATAATAGCCCGATTTAAGCGAGTAGTTGTCAGTAACTATTACCCCACTTAATTGTGAAAAAAAAAATATTAAAAAATGTCAAAAGCAAAACATACGCAAAGCTCAGATTCCAATTTGTGAAGTATTAGGGCCAGATGAAAACAATAGCATAATTAACCTCACCCATTGTTAAATGTTTGATGGTGATGAAGGCGCAGCTGTTACACACTGACACAAGACACTGTGGAAGCCAGGCAGGGAGCCGCACCCACCCAACCTTATATATACACACCCACTCAGCAGCCAGCTTGCGCGCGCACTTTCACATTAATAGTTTCTCCAGTTGTATCTGCAACTCTTGGTATAGCCCTAATATTTAAATAAATTTATGCATATTCTGGACTATTTGGAGGCTCACTTTACTTGACGACATTTGTAACTCTGTATAAGTTATTCTGTTACAGAAAGCAATCCTGGTATTTTTCGGAGGGAGTTGGCAGCTGAAACTTGACAGCCGGGTACTATTCTTCCTTAATACGGCTTCTCATGTAGTGATGGTGGCCATCTGTCAAACAACAGCTTTATAAATCAAGGTGTCTATGTTGAAACTATGTATATTAGTTCATAACTACCCTAAATAACAGTCTTAAGGAAAAAGTTGGCTGAGCTAAGGGATTACATTGGCTGTGTTCCAACACTTGAGGTGTTACCGTCGTACAAGTACTGCTGCAGCATTCCTGTATGACACATTCCTAGTGTACAAGCGCTCTTCGTGAAACTATAAACACATAGGATTGGGAAATTCAACACAAACTCGCGAGGAACATGACTGTGTTTTCTTTGCGAGGAGGAAGTGTTGAGCATATGGCAACAGAGATCAGACACGGTTGAAGGCCACATCTCTACCAGTGTCTCCTCCACGCCATTACTCAGGCCTAAGCTTGCATCACTATGTATCTTCATGCCATCAGGATATGTATAGATATATAAAACCATATCACTTCACACCACAATGTTAGTAAACTAATGATGTCTAGCGATCTGGGAATATATTAGTGTGTTAGTCTTAATTATGAATGATAATCGCAGACAAATGATTGTAAAATGCAAAACTAGCCACCAGAGGATGGAAAGAGCTAGCTCTAGGCCTTTTGCACGTGCCTCGTCACGAGCTATTATAACCTTGCATTTTGTAACATTGCATTGCTCCTGAAGAAGCACTTGCAATAGTGTAGGAGGCCTTGAGCCAGTTCTCTCCATCCATTGGTGGCTAGTTTTGCCACTAGGGAATGGAACCACGAAAACGATTGGTTTTAAAGCGAACAGTAATGCAGCTGGCCGGGAACCGAACCCAGGACTCATACCAAATTCCTGATGCTCTAGAGTCGACACATCACCACGGTTCATAACGCTAGGCGTCCAGTGAAATCACTGTTTCCTCCTAATGTCAACCGCATTCGCAGGAAGGTAAGCTGTGAAACTAATTTCATTCTCCTTCCGTTTGAATACCATCCTCACGAGCACTGTAAATACTTAGGTAAATATGCAAACAAGTTTTAAAGCAAAGAACGATACAGCAGCTGGCCGGGGGTCACCTAGCACTAGTTGTGAACATGTCTACTGATTTCATTACCTGGAGTTTACCTGGAGAGGGTTTCGGGGGTCAACACCCCCGCGGCCCGGTCTTAGACCAGGTCTCATGGTGGATCAGGGTCTGATCAACCAGGCTGTTACTACTGGCCGCGCGCAAGCTGACGTACGAACCACAGCCCGGGTGGTCAGGTACTGACTTTAGGTGCCTGTCCAGTGCCTTCTTGAAGACAGCCAGGGGTCTATTGGTAATCCCCCTTATGCGTGCTGGGAGGCAATTGTAGGCGCCTAGCGTTATAAAACGTGGTATGTTTAATACCATATGACATATAACATGAACTATTAAAAGGAAGGTTCCATAATGCAGGTGAACTGGTCTTGATCCAAGGAACTGGAACTATCCTCGCTGAATCGAATCTGATTGCCTTCTATATGACATCTACGTATTTAACACTCCCCATAAATTTATTGTATTATTATTACTAGTAGTAGTAGTACTGCATTACTATGTACATTTAACCTAATACTTAAATCCCTTTCCGGATGCTCTTTAATTATGTTAACATTCTCGCATAACCAATAATTAACATTTTTACGGCTGTTTATTAGGGGAAACTGACAGCAAGGCGTTGCCTAGAGTGCTCTGTTTGGTGAGCAACGAGGTATGAGTGTTGGTGGGGCTGCCAGGTGTAAGGTGTGAGTGTTGATGGGGCTGCCATGTTTAAAGTGTGAGTGGTGAGTGTTGATGGGGCTGCCAGGTGTGAGTAGTGAGTGTTGGTGGGGCTGCCAGGCGTGAGTGGTGAGTGTTGGTGGGGCTGCCAGGTGTAAGATGTGGGTGGTGAGCGTTGGTTGGGCTGCCAGGTGTAAGGTGTGGGTGGTGAGCGTTGGTGGGGCTGCCAGGTGTAAGGTGTGGGTGGTAAGCGTTGGTTGGGCTGCCAGGTGTAAGGTGTGGGTGGTGAGCGTTGGTGGGGCTGCCAGGTGTAAGGTGTGGGTGGAGATTGTTGGTGAGGCTGCCAGGTGTAAGGAGTGAGTGTTGATGGGGCTGCTATGTGTAAAGTGTGAGTGGTGAGTGTTGATGGGGCTGCCAGGTGTAAGGTGTGGGTGGTGATTGTTGGTGAGGCTGCCAGGTGTAAGGTGTGAGTGTTGATGGGGCTGCCATGTGTAAAGTGTGAGTGGTGAGTGTTGATGGGGCTGCCAGGTGTAAGGTGTGGGTGGTGATTGTTGGTGAGGCTGCCAGGTGTAAGGTGTGAGTGTTGATGGAGAGGCAGGAGGAGCTTAAAGCTATTAGTGAAATTGAAAGAAATTCCAAATATTTCTTTTCATATGCCAAAAACAAGGCAAATACCACATCTAGTATCGGGCCCTTACTCAGACAGGATGGGACTTACACAGACGACAACAAGGAAATGAGTGAAATATTGAAATCCCAGTACGACTCTGTGTTTAGTGAACCACTAATCGGTCTGAGGATCGACGACCCAAATGATTTCTTCATGAATGAGCCTCAAAACTCCATAAATGTATGCCAGATTTCCGACATTACCCTAACTCCGATAGATTTCGAAAAAGCCATTGACAACATGCCTATGCACTCAGCCCCGGGCCCAGACTCGTGGAACTCTGTTTTCATTAAGAACTGCAGAAACCCCTCTCGCGTGCCCTAAGTACACTATGGAGGAGGCTTGGACATGGGTGAAATTCCACAGTCACTTAAAACAACGGTATACCCCCCGCTCCTTTAAAGGGGCGGCAAAGCATTACCCTAAAAAACTATAGAAATAGTCTGACTTTCCCACATCAAAAAAATCTTTGAAAAGGAGTGAAAGAAGCAGGATTGAAATCACCTGGTTTCCCCAAAAATCTGACAATCCGGGCAAAAAGGGGTTCCCAGGGCAGGTCGCCCCTGCCTTCACAATATGGTTTCACTATGACATGGCCTTGGATGCACTGGAAAAAAATTTCAAAATTTGCGATAAAAATTTTATACACAGACTTTGAAAAACCCCCCCTTTTTAAAAAATCCCGATCATGGCGAAATTAGCCCATAAAATACGTGCAAAAGGGAATAACTGGGAAAGGGGGAGAGGGATTTCAACCCCTTAACAAATCGAACACAAAGAGTAGTGGTAAAACAGATTTAAAAATCGGAGGCTGCCATGGGTGAAGAGCTCGGTTCCAAAAGGGCACAGTATCGCCCCCATCTTATTCCTTACCCTTTCTATCGGGAATAAACAGGATATACCCCACGCACCGTATCACCCTTTTGGGCGGAGGGTACTGGGTTTCGGGCATGAGGCTTTTCATCTGTGAGGACGCGGTTAACCTCCAAGAAGATAAAAAACAAATTTTTCCCAAGTGGGAAAGGGTTTAAAAAATATGTGTTTCAATGAGGACAAATTCCAACACTCCGTTATGGAAAATGGAGGGAAAATAACTAAACAGGTTTTAAACTGACCCCGGCCATACAATAGGGGGGAAAATTTAATGTAAGGGACCTGGGAGTATTTAATGTTGAGGATCTCACTTTCAAGGATCAAAACAGTGCCACGATCGCACGTGAAAAGGGAAATGATGGGATGGAAAATGAGAACTTTCAAAACTAGAGATGCCAAGCCCATGATGATCCTTTTAAAATTCATTGTTTTTCTCTTGGCTGGAATACTGCTGTACATTAACATCTCCATAAAAAGCAGGTAAAATTCGCGATCTAGAGAGTGAAAGGATTTTTTATTTGCACGTATAATTTTCTGTCAAGCCCCCTTAAACTCTGGGAACGCTTAAAACCCATTTGGGACTTGTACTGGTTGGAAAACGAAGGGGGAGAGATATTTCATAATTAATTTGGGAAAAAATTTTGGAAGGAAGGGGCCCCAAAAATTGCACAAAAGGTTTTTCCTCCCTCAAAATTTTAAAAATGGGCCCAGGCGATTGAAAAATTTTGCCCCCAAAAAAAGAAAGGGGCCCCATTGGTCCCCAAACTAAGAGAAAACCCCATAATTTGTCCGGGGCCCAAAACTGTTCAACACCCTCCCATAAAGCATTGGGGGAATTGCCAATAAACCCCTGGCTCCCCTTCAAGAGGGGAGCTGGACAGTTTACCAAAAATTCAGTCCCGGCGCCGGGTGTGGCTGTACGTCGGACTGCGTGCGGCCAGCAGTAAACACCCTAGTTGTCAGGCCCTGATCCATCGGGAGCCGGGTTTGTGGACCGGGCCGCGGGGGCTTTGGGGGAACCCCCGGGAAATAACCTCCAAGGTAACCCCCGGGTTTAAGGTGTGATGGTGGGTTTTGAGGGGGGCTACCATGTGAAAGGTGTGGGTGGTGGCGTTGGGGGGGGTTTGCCGGGGCTAAGGTGTGGGTGGTGAGCATTGGGGGTTGCCAGGTGAAAGGTGTGGGTGGGGGACATTGGTGGGGCTCCCCTGTGTAAGAATGTGAGCGGTGAGGTTGGTGGGGCTGCCATGTGTAAGGTGGGGGGTATTGGCGTTGGTGGGGCTGCGGGTGAAAGGTGTGGGTGGGGTTTGTTGGTGGGTGCCAGGTGTGGGTGGTGTGTTTGTGGGGCTGCCAGGGCGAGTGGGGAGTTTTTTTGGTGGGGCTGCCAATTAAAGTTTTGGGGTGGTGGTGTTGATGAGGCTGCCGGTTTTTAAGGTGGGGTGGTGATTGTTGGGGGGGCCTCCCAGGTGTAAGGTGTGGGGGGTTTGATTGTTGGTGGGGTCCCGGGTTTGTGAGTGGTGATTGT